AGTATATGTGCAGGCACCGACTCAAGTGAGAGTTCATCTGTGCAGTCCGTGTCAGTCTCAGATGGCCTCCAGAGGGCTGTCGATAGATTATCACAAGAGATGGGCGCTATGAGAATGGAGTTGAAGGAGACGTATGATGAAAACCAGAGACTGAGAGCGTGGAACACTGACAGATGTGAGCGTGGATTTTGCTCACCCGCTAGAGGACGCTGCAACTGCAACTGTGGTGACTGGGGGTGTCAGTCAAGGGCCCCCCCCCCATGACAGCTACCATGGTCGCTCTCCCGAGCGCGGACAATTCCCACCTCAGGGGCCTATCCACCACAGGGCCATTGTCCGGACCTGGGCGTATCTCCCATCCCTAAGCCATCTGGGGGCAGGAGCCCCACTCCGGGGTGGCGTGCACGACGTGAAGAGGAGCCGGGGAAGCGCGGAGTGCATTTCCTGTCACGACAGCAGGATGCTGACAACAGCCATCAGGGAAACGGTCGTTAGCTGGTGTTGGGACCCGAACACCAGCTTTTCCGACCGAGGGCCCCCTGCACCATGATGTTTCTGAAGCCACTGCAAGTATGGAACGTGGCGACCACCCTGCCTCTTATGTTTGAGGTGTGGTGGAAGGCACTGAAGTCACCATGTTAGTGGACTCAGGAGCCACTGTGTCACTGATTAGTGCAGATTTTCGTATGTCAGTCCCTGCCCTGCGGAACCGGCCCCTGAGGAAGAACTATATTGACTCCTGTGCAGTAAATGGACAAATGTTGGACGCACTGGGCACCATCGAGGCCACCTTCCGCCTGGGCCCCTCCTGCTGGCAGCACACTTTCCACGTGCTGAGGGAATCCACTCAGAGTGTTTTGCTTGGTCTGGACTATTTGAGGGCGAATCACACACTGCTGGACTGGGGGCGGGGTGTGTTACAGTTATGGGATGTTACTGTGCCCCTGCTTCGGGGTGGTGAGTTGGTCCCTGAATGCTGTAACGTGTCCCTTGCTGATGTCATGATCATTCCCTCCTGAGTGAGGCCCTAGTGCCTGTGAATGTTCTCTCACCTGGTGGTGCTGGCTTGCCTGCCAAAGACTTTGATGGGTATTTGGAGCCTATTATTCCAGAGACAACAGGACTTGTGGTCGCTCACACAGTCAACAGTGTGAAAAATGGTGTCACCTTTGCCCGCATTCTCAATCCCACAGGGGAAGCGGTCAAGCTCAAACGGGGGTTGCACCTGGGTGAATTTTACCCAGTCGGAGAAGCTGACATTCTACCACCCCCCTGTGCTACGGGCGAGGAAGCAGCCACACCACCAGCACCTGCAGGCCCTGTCTCCCTGGATATGTCACCTTTCACTGCACAGCAGAGGTCAGAGCTGTCAGAACTGCTGCAGAAGTTTTCTAGTGTTTTCAACCTGTCAGACAGGAACACAGGCAAGTGCACACTTGTTAAACACTACATCAGGACTGGCAACCATCCCCCTATCAAGCAGCGCGCTTATCGTGCGTCTCCAGAGAAACGAGCTGAGATTGAACGTCAAGTGGCGGAGCTGCTAGCTGATGGGGTTGTGGAGGAGAGTTGCAGCCCCTGGGCATCCCCAGTGGTGCTGGTTAGGAAGAAAGGGGGACAGTGTCGTCTCAACTCAGTGAAAATCAAACACTTGCACCCCCTCCCACGAGTGGACGACAGCCTTGATGCCCTGGCTGGCTCCTCCTGGTTCAGCACACTTGACTTTTCAAATGGCTACTGGCAGGTAGACGTGGCTGAGGAGGACAGAGAGAAAACAGCCTTTACGATAGGCAGGGGCTTGTACCGGTGGCGGGCCATGCCTATGGGCCTGACCAATTCACCTGCCACATTTCAGCACATGATGGAGCTCGTCCTGAGAGGCCTGCCATGGCATATCTGCATGGTATACTTGGACGATATACTAATCTACAGTCGCACCTTCAAGGACCACCTCCTACACCTGGAGGAGATCCTGTCCAGGATACAGCTGGCAGGCCTGAAGCTCAATCCAAAAAAAAGTCACTTTGCCAGGGACCATGTTGTGTTCCTGGGCCATGTAGTCTCCTCTCATGGCCTCCAACCAGACCCACGGAATACCAATAAGGTGAGAACCTGACCGACCCCCCGCAACCCCTGAGGTCAGGGCCTTTGTGGGCCTGTGCTGATATTATAGGAGGTTCGTGCAGGATTTCTCCCGACATGCTGCACCGCTGAATCGCCTGGCGGGGAAAAATGTGCCCTTTGAGTGGACTGATGAGTGTGCAGTGGCATTCACCTACCTCAAACAGGTGCTCACTTCCTCACCAGTGGTGATGATGCCTAACTTTGCAGCTCCTTTCAAGGTGTACACTGATGCTTCTAAGGATTCAGTGGGGGGGGTGCTGGCACAGGACGATGAGGGACGTGAGAAGGTAGTAGCCTATGCCAGCCAGGCCCTCATACACACACAGAAGCGGTGGTCCACTTTTGACAGAGAGCTATGGGCTATTGTGTGGGCTGTGCGTGAATTCAAGCACTATGTTGGACTCTCTGCCTTTCCATCATAACAGATCATTGCCCATTGCTGGGCCTCCGGCGCATGGCTATTGATAATGACCCTACTGGACGGAGAGGCAGGTGGGTGTTAGAGCTGGAACCGTTTGACTGGGTCATAGTTCACAAGGATGGTTCCCGCCATACAAACGCTTATGCTCTGTCTCGCCAACGTGTTTCCTCCAGCCCGGTTGATTTGGACTCCCCTTTGGCGGGGACACAAACTATTGCCTTGGTGGGGGTGCCGGACCGTGTTTTGTCACAAACGGGCCATGTTCCTGCCTATTCTGTCCGTGGCAGTGACTCTGAATTGTGGACATTGCAACATGAGGACTCAGACATCAGTACTGTGCTGGCTTGGTTGGAGAGGGGCGCGACAAGACCGCCTCACAGACTCCGCAGAGGGTCTTCAGCCAGCCTGAGGAAGCTATGGACTGAGTTTCACTGTCTGTCGGTCACTGAGGGACTGCTGTGTCGAACGGAGCAGTCTGCAACCACAGGGGAGGGGCGAATTCAGGTCGTGGTCCCTGCATCCTTGGTTCCAGAGCTTCTTCAGCAGCTGCATGGAGGGCCAGCTTCTGCACACTTTTCAGCTGAGCGTGTGTGGGAAAAGGCCTGGCAATCTTACTACTGGCCTTTCATGCTGAGGGACATAAGACAGTGGTGTGAACAATGCAGAGCCTGTCAGTCCCTGGACAGAGAGCACCCATGGGGGGGTCCCAGGTTAGCCGCCCGATGCAATGGGTGGCCGCGGATATTCTGAAGCTGCCATTGACTTCTCGGGGGAACAGGTACGTCTTGGTAGTGGAGGACTATTTCACAAAGTTTGTTACTCTGTTTGCGCTGCCAAACCAGAAGGCTCTCACAGTGGTTCGCTGCCTGTTTGAGGATTATGTGTTAGTCCATGGGGTGCCAGAGGTCCTGCACAGTGATCAGGGCCGCCAGTTTGAAGGAGAAGTCATCCAGAGCCTCTGCCTATTGTCGGGGATAAAAAAAAACTGCCTACAACCCCAAGTCTGATGGCATGGTGGAGGACTTTGATCAATCAGCTGGCTAAGATGTTGCTTTCCCAGAGGGGTGAATAGGACACATATGTGAAGCAGGTGGCTTTTGCTTATAACACCTCCAAACATGCCAGCACCCGGTTCAGCTCCTTCTACCTCATGCATGCACGCGAGGCACGGGTCCCTGCTGACGTGCTTGTGCCCTCTAGTGTTTTGGACTCTCGGGGCTCGGGATCCCTGACAGAGTATGCATCGTCCATAGCAGAGCAGCTGGAGTCGGCCTTCAGCACAGCCAGGCTTAACTCTGCAGAGGCTCACAAGAGACAGAAACTGTATCGTGACGAGGGTGGCTGCCACTGCGCCTATGGAGTGGGCGTGTTGGTGTGGCTGAGTAACCCCACAGAGAGTCGCACAAAGCTGGCACCACATTGGAAGGGCCCCTATTGGGTCATGCAAATGCTGACCTCGGGTGGGGAAGCTGCACTGACGTACCACATCATCAACCCCCTGGATTCTGTGGAGCGGCCTCAGGTCGTTCATCATGACAGACTGAAACCTTATACGCTGCCACTGCCTACACTGACTGTTCCTGTCACTCCTTCCATGTCTCCACCTGCCTTGGAGGCTTCGCCAGTCCCCTGTTTTTCCCAGGTTGGGGATCAGCCTCAGGCTGGGGGGTTGGACAATGGATGGTGGGGGGACTCATTGGGGCTGAGTGCCAGGCAGTCTCGCAGGGGACGAGCGGTGCGACCACCTTCGCACCTTCAAGACTTTGTCATGTTTTGAGTTTTCTGTGTTCTAACCTTGCTATCATTCTGGGAGAGCTAACTGGTGGGTGTTAAGGGGCGGTTATGCAGTTTTTTTTGCAGTTGTGCCTTACTATGGTTAGCTGCGGCAGGGGTCTGCGCTAGTTATATATGTTTTAGTATCTCTGGAAGTGTTTCAGTGTGTAATGTGTTTGTTTTGTTTGGGTTTTTTTCTGGTTCTGTATATGGTGAAAAAGGGACATTTCTAGCTAAGGGGGGGACGTGTGTAACAGACTATTTTGTCTTTGCATACAGGAATGCCTGGTAAAGTATGGTGTCCCTCCAGAGTTGCCGTAGGGCTGTGGTTGGCGGAGTTCCGCCGTTGTGTGTGTTGCTGTTGACGCTCTGAGTAAAAGAGAGGCGGGACGCTCGGTTACACCAACTTGGAAAGGAGCATACAGGTTGTTGGCAGAAACATTTTAGCTAGTGATGAACATGAGATGCTACTTTGTTTTATTTCATCTCAGTTTACCCAGCAGGTTCTGTTGGTGTCTCCTCAGCATGACACAACTTCTCCCTTTTTTGTTAAGAGCAGAATGGCTTTGCATGAGGTCCATTTTTTGCTCTATTTTGCGGATGTGATTCTTTTGTAAGAATTGAAGCTATACAAGAAACTTTACAAACCATGAAAATACTTGTGACTGACTAACTGCATTACCAGATAGACAGCGATGGCAGCTCCCAGCAACCATCCGCAGTAGACATCTACAGGATGGTTTCTAAACTGGATAATCCTGGTTAACCCAGCCAGGATAGCCAGCATGACAAAAGAGAATACCAGGAGAGGCTTCAGCAGCTTGGCAGAGTCTGTCAGCACTGTGTTGAAGTACATCTGAAACACACAATTTCACATGAGCCAATCATGATCTTTTAATGTTGATAGAAAAACAGGTAATTCCACCCCTGTGATAGTAGTACCGTATTCAGTTCAGTTATTTAGATATTTAACCATAACAAATGCCTACAACTTAACTACTTACTGAGATGTAGACAGCAGCAAAGGCAGCCAGAGTTGCATGCTGGGAGGGGAAAGACTTCCTATAAAGAACAAAAGAGAGACAGTGTGTTCTTTCTGACAATTACCATGTTCAGACAGTTAAGGACAATGCTGAATATTCATCTGCAACTGGGAAGTGACTTTCAAAGAAACTTGTGTGTGTGTGTGTGTGTGTGTGTGTGTGTGTGTGTGTGTGTGTGTGTGTGTGGTAGCTCTGCCATAGCAGGTGTTGAATAAATGCATAAAGGATACAAGGAGGGCAACAACTCTCGACCTCTGATGAGTGTTTTGTTACTTCATCACCCAAATACTGCAACAGTATATATCCTTGTAATAAACTACAATTTTAAACACTTTTGCATTGACACTGTTGGTAAGCGTGATTTTTCATTTTAAAATGAGAAGTCTTGTAGGAAGAGGTGACTGGAAGTTCTCGTTTCCTGAGTCTACCGCACCTTCACATTGGAGAAACTGTTCTTCTCTTGGAGGAGAAGTACAAATACACAGCTCTCTAAATATGTCACCAAATACACAGATGTCCATTATGGGATATATTTTCAGTTAGGCTACATTTACAGTAACTTGTCCATTGCCCATTACTTTGTTCAGTAATTATGCGAGTAGATTCAGTAAGTCATATCTACAATAATACTGAGAGAAAAGCAGTAGTCTGTTTAATCTGTTTATACTTTTGCATAAATACATTTCCCTGGAATAATATTGTTTACATAACAGAAAAATACAAATACATAATATTTAAATTATGTAGAGGACATGCTGTTTGAAATTTAATTAAAAAACAACAAAAAAACAAAACAAAACAGGATGCATCCGTAGGATGCGTGCTATACTCCAGATAATTTCACAGTACAAACTAGGAATCTGTGTGGAACAGCTCACCAGTCTGGTGTGTAGAGAAGCACAGAACATTCTGTATAATTTTTTTTTTGCTAAAGCCTGTTGGCTGTATCAGAAGGTTTGGATTGAGCAGAAGTGTGCAGCATTTTGGTAAAATGTTACATTTATGAGATTTTAGAGAGGATTGCAGGTGTGTCTCTGCCATCTATTGCTATAAAAATTGCTCTCTTTACGATTAGAGATTATTTCTTGGGTGGTAACACAAACAACACTGGGTGACAAAACTGCACTGTGCTATTTATTCACTATAGACACAATCTCAGCTGAGGCACTCAATCTACCATATTGGAAGTAAGTCATTTGAAGCCTCAAAATAAGCCAACATGCACAACTGAAAAAAAAATTTAAAAAAATTAACCTGATGAACAAGCCCTTGCACCTGCCTGCACATCAGGGGTACCAGTGGGACGGGACGTCAGTTGACACGGCTGTGCAATTCCGCAACCATCAGACACTGCGTGTATGACTTTTTTTTCTTTCTTTTTTTTTAATATCCTGCGTTTAATATCCATGCTAAACAGAAAGTTTAGCATGTTTGATTTTCTTTTTGTCTTTCAGGAGTCTTTCGTTCACAGCCGTCACTTTGACCAGTAGTAACACAGTGATCTGCTGCTGTAGACAACATTATGGTAACACTATCCCAGCCTTTTTGAAAGGGACTACTACACAGAGTAAAAAAAGGAAAATGCTGGCTTGAAGCAGCAAAGGCACTTCAGCAACCCAATGACGACTGCCATTAGCATCAAGTTAGCAAAGAATATTATTTCTTCCGAATTGAGAGGGATGTAAAGGACAAAAATTCACAAATACTGGTTTGGCTTTTACTTACCACAACTGCAGAGGGTACCAGCTTCATTTGAAACAGACAATATTAGCAATCTGCCTTTATTTATTGACACAGGCCTTTATTTCTCATTCCCTCTGTATTTTTCTTTTTTTTTAATCTTAAAGCCATTCCCATCTGCCCTGTTAAATTTAATGCATCGCGCCATCATTTCAAACTCAACACTTCCTGTATCCATGTAAAATGAGAAAGCTCCTTAACATTTGGATTGAGAGAATCCCTTCATTTTCTAAAAAGGCTTTTATTGTGAAACATTTGCAGGAACTTGTTGCGGAGGACTCAGTGACTTGCATGGTTTTCAAGTGGTACTTAAAATGTAGCTCCTCCTATCAGGTGGTGCTTTTTACACTACCACAAAACAGTTGGGCTGGGACATGTACAGCCACAGTGACTGTAATAATAACAATAATAATAATATAAAAGGACAAGAATAATCAGATGCGTCATGAAAGATGACCAGTGATGATTTGTCTTACACTAATGTGTAGTCTGTCATGTCTGTTGGCCAACTCACAGCAAGATTTTATGACTCTTTATGACTGACAATTGCCTAATCGGAGTAGTGATTAGTGACTGTAGTAACAGATAAAAATATTGTGTAGTCTGAACCTGGCATTAAGTGTGGACCACTCAACATAAAACGTATGTAACTAAAATTATGTTTGTCACAGGAGGCTTACTTCCTGTTGCCTGTAGGTGGCACTATGACTGTAACTCAGTACTGGCATGAATATGTCTTCAGTCTTATTAGGCTGCTCACTCTTATCAAGAATGGACAAGTTTGATATATAAATTAAATTAAATTAGCTTAATTTCCATAAACATATGACATCCCTCTGTCCTTTGGACCCTCACAGCGGATAAAGAAAAACTCCCCCCAAAAAAACCTTCGTACAAAAACATGTAAACATGTAATTTCCTGTTGCCATTAGTTGGCGCTATGACTATAATTCATTATTGGCACATAGATGTCTTCCGGCAGGGACTTTTATGTATTAGCAAAAGAAATTTTGGGTAGAATGAAACAATGCACACTCAAGTCACTACAACTTCCTGTTTTATGGCAAAACACGCAAAATCACAGCCATGCCAAGGCAACATCGTTTGATGAAAACGTTTTTTCAGCCTCAGAGGCTGCCGCTGGAGAAAAACGTACAACATTCAAAATGGCCGATTTCCAGGTGGGCGGAGCTAATGAAACCTAATGAGAAATGAGTCAAACAATGAGAGCAAATGTGTGCACCCAATTTTGCGAATATCAAAGCAGATTTGTGGCAACTATGGTCTTCCATGCAATAGGGGGCGCTATGGAGCCCTGTAAACATGCACAAACAGCTGTATATTCTGGCAGCATTCACAGGTTTTAATGTGTTTACAAGTCCCCAAGTTTTGTGAGTTTATAAGCCAAAAATGCATTCAAAGACAGAAATTACCAGTTCAATCATGAGTGCAATGTTTCATGAGTTCTCTATCGTAAGGAGGCTTCCCCTCCACCTCAGAGATATTACATATACCTCTACGGGAAACCTGATCCATCAGGGTCAGGTGTGTGGATAACTACTTTAAGACATACCACCTGTGGAGTGGACGTGGCTATCAATCAGACCGGTTATTTAAACCCCTGTCAACCACGGCCACGTTGATTTTTATTTTCCACTGGAGCAGCTTGTGTGTCGTTCTGCTTTGAGACAAATCAATTCTGTATCTTTCTGTGTTCTTAACTAAACAACATTAGCAGTCTGTGCCACTTACCTGATGGTATGAAAGAGTGAGATGTTCGGCTCTCGCGGTGGCTGTTAACATTGATCCTTTATAAACGTTTGTTGGCATCTTCCTCGGTGTTGGCATATTGCTTCCGTGTGGGGGTTCATGTGCCGTTTACACCAGGTCCTGTGTGTTGTCTCCGTGCGGAGGTTGTCGCGTATCAGCACAGGTCTTGTTTCTCGGTTCCGTGCGGACGGTGAGAGCAGGGCCGCGGACTTTCTGAGCTGTTAACTTAACTATCTGCCTGTCTGTCATTCTGTTGCTCTTGACACCGTGTTGCGGTTGCAACGCTACACCAAGCACACACGTCTCATTACACACATATCGCCCCGCAACAGTCTCGTGGTGTGTATAGCCGGATTGTTTTTCCGGGTTGGGATCTCGCAAGGGCGGGACCTAGATTTGGTCATAAGTCATATTTGTGTGGCATGTGGGGTCCAGTTGCCCATTGAGGATGGACATGATGTGTGTGTATGTTGTCTAGGCGAGGAACATGCCTCTGAGGCTGTCTGTAATCCCTCCTCCTGTATGGATTGCTCTATTTTGCCAGCACGAACCTTAGAGGCTCGGCTTTGTGTGTTTGGGGTAAAGCGCAGGATGACTGTTCCACCTGATAAGCCCCAACAGACTAAGCGTCGTATGGTGGGGGAATTTGGGGGTAGCTCCTCTGCGGATCTTTGCCCCAGTCCCCCACCCAGGTGTTTTTTGCCTGATAATACCAGGGCTCAGGAGGAGGATGAGGACAACATTGATGTGGAGGGGGTTTCAGATGATGGCGAGGAGGTCCTGGATGACCACGCCAAAGAAAGCAATAGACAGCAATTCAGGGGTCTAATTGAGAGGACCTCCCGCATTTTGGGGCTTAAACTGAGGACGGGTCAGGCCCCTCCCCCTTCGCGCTTTAATGATGAGGATGAGGAGGGGTCACTTAAAACAGCGCTGTTTACAGTGCCTCTCCTAGAGGTGGTGAACCTTGTGCATAAGGGATTTGAAAAGCCCACAGCTAAGTTAGTCTTTTCCGCTACCAACAGGCGTTTGTCTGCCATGAAGGATAAGGACAAAGTAGGCTGTGGTTCGCCACCTCAGTTGGACCAGTCTGTGTCTGCTCTTTTGTTTCCGGCCATCTCAATACTGGGTTCAGTTACTCTGCCGGGGGACTGTAGGATGCTAGACGCCTCGCTAGTTAAAGTGCATAGGCCTATGGCAATATAGACTCAACTGGCCAATACTGGCTCTGTGTTAGCACTGTATCAGCGGCGGCTGGTGCGTGAGCTACAAGGTGAGGCAGATGCTCATCTCATTAATGAGATTCAGCTCGTTTCCAAAATCTTATCTAAGATTATGGAAGAGCAGGTGGTGACCGCAGGGAAGGGCATGTTGGCACTCTGGGTTGCTAGGCGTCAGCTGTATTTGTCCCGATCCAGGTTACAGCCAGAGGACAAAGGGGCTCTCTTGAATTTACCGGTCGTGCCAGGTGCCATGTTTGGTGCTGGTACCACTGCGATGTTACGGCAG